TAACTCAATTCAAATTTACAAGAATGAGATAATAAGTAGGTCACTAGGATATTATGTACAAAAAACTAATGTGATTTTATAATTTGGTAATAATTCAAACCAAAAATTAAATATTGCCATAAATCTCAAATTTTGCCTATACATTATTCTTGTACATAATTGTACGTTTAGATGAGATTAATAAATTGTCCAATTTGAAGAGAATTACAGACCAACTGAATTCTATGTATTGCATATCCTGCAACGTATTTCAAGGTTCATTTAACCCCCTAAACTCTAATTAGAAATTATATTTAGCAAAGACACCCTACAATGGATCAAGCACCTAAACAACAACTCCAACCCATCTTCAAAATCTTCAAAGACACCATCCAGAGCTTCCAACTTTTCCAGAGCAGATTCAATCTTCTCTGCCTCAATATCCTCACTTGCATTTGGAAATGTCAAGTTCCCCACCGCAACCTTGGCACTCTGCAATTCGTTCATGTCGTCTCGGACTTCACCCAATACTATTCCTTTGCGTACCAGTTTCGATATCAGCAACCATTTTGTCCCCTTTGGCTTCAATAATGACGGAGACAAGAACAGCAGGAGAGAACGTAATGTGGAAATGGTGATCAAACTAGCTTCTCCAAGGACTCGTACCAAAACAGAGAGATGGTGACTCTGTTCTAACGGGGGACTCTGTTCCCCGATCCCATTTTCCATCTGCTTCAGTAACGCCATAGACTTAGCGATTTCCTTCTTCATGTTCTTCCTGGAACAAGTGTAATCTCTGACATTGTCCTCAATGCTCCTCTCTCCAGCCATGCTTCGCCGCAGCACGGATTGGAGCTCTCTTACACTTTCCTTCGTCAACAAAACAGAGTCCCTTGTATTGCCACAAATGTCCAAGTACCTTAGCGTGCCATCTAGCAACTCATTGACCCATTTTTCATGGTATTGCTGGGATAGGCCTTGTTGGGTCAATGGCAGACTAAGGAGATCCCCCATGCATGCGTACAACTCTGCTAAGCCAGAGAGAACAGTGGAAACTGTTGACGAAGAAACACCCTCCAAAGATCTCAGCTTGTTTATCTCTTCTTCAATTCTAAGTGTGGTGGGGTGTGATCTAGCCGGAAAGCTTATCGACCTAACATTGTATTGGCTATTAGGTTTCATTAGGGAAATTTTGTTCATATCTACTCTATGATTGTATAGAATAAAGATAGGACTTGGGACTTAGTGAGTCACACCATGAGTTCTCAAGGGGTATTTATATGAGGGGATGGAAGTGTGTAGGTCCCTTTGCCAATGTGATGAGCAACTGAGCATGTGTAGATAGTGTGGGATTTTTTTCTTATTTCCTTCTATGGAATGGGATTTAGTTTGTCTTATGTGGCACCAAAAAAATGAAACAGAGTTGGCTAATTTAATGAGTTGTTTTTATGGTTCGGTGTATCTCACCGTTGGTTCTTTCTTCCTAGTTTTTGAATTCTCACCGTATTCATTCGACTCATCCGCCTCTGGAGTGCACCGCCGGTCCACCGCCATAGCCAATGGCCGATTTTTATTTTTCTAATAATTGAAATTGATGATACTAATCATGGAAGTTGGTAAAGAATAAAGAATGTAGCTTACCCAAAGTTCCGTGGATATGGGGGCCTTTCAAAATATGCCAATTGTCAAATGAGATCTAGAAAGATCATGAAATTTATGTTATACAACTATTAAGATTTGAGTTGTGGTCTTTGTGGATATATGATGGTTTACATTAAAAATGAATTAAAAGTTATAAATTCTTATAAATCTTAACATCGAAAAAGGTTATTAAAAAACACAAAATAAACCGAAAAAATATATAGTTGTAAAAACATGTCTATATAATTATGTTGGCTCTTGGTGCAAAACCTATGATACAAAGTTGGGAAAATTTTCCACATTTTGCATCTTCCTTTCCCTTTGCTTCATATCAGTTACCAAAATGCAAGAGCTTTGGGGTTGGAAATAGAGTAGACCTTCCCTGAGTAAACACGAGATCGGCAGTTGATTAATTCATACTAAATGTTGCGGCTGCGTTGACACTTGACATTGTTACAAAGTGCATTTACTTGGTAAAGAAGTGATTGAATTGAGGAGCCATCCAAAAGGCTGGAGTAAAGGGTAATCAAATGCAGAATCATTGA